TGGAGACGAGAGCACCGTTTTCACCCCCCTTCCTCCATTCCAGTCCATCACAAGACTACCTATATAGCTGAACTATCACAGTCTTGATAATCTTCCCAAAAAAGAGAGGTTGGAAACTGGCCAATAGTTATCTAAGACCATTATTTCCAGGGTTAGCCTCTTCAAAAGGGACACACCATAGCCTCTTTCAAGACTGCTGGTGGCTCTGCCTCTTGCAAAGAGGTATTGACACTCCCAAATCCAGGTGGTCACATCTCCACCACTCTTACCAGCAGGCAGGACAGGCATGCATCCAGGTTACAAGTGGCAGAAGATAATCTAAGCAACACCCTGTCTACTTACTTGAGGTTCATAGGCCAAAAGGAATCCCAGATAATAGGGCTAGATGGTGCCTTAGTCCTCACTAAAGACTTTACTCATGACTCTCAAAACTTTGATGAATCTGAGTGACTTTATCAGCAAAATGCTGTGCAAATTGGTCACAGTGGCCAGGTGGGAAATTTATCTCCTGACCCCTTCCCAAAGGGAATTAGAAACCCTGAACGGGGCTGGTGGATGACAGCCTGCTGACTCAATAAGGGAGAAAAGAGCTTGCTTCTCCTCCCTTAGTATCACAGTGTAGGCCATGCTTTGTTGGATTTGTGTTTTATCTTTTTCTACCTGTACTCCTGATATCATTTCTGGTGCTTCATTTGCCAAAAGGGTCAATCCCAAAAAAGAGGCACCTGAAGGCCAGTCATATTCAGTACCCAGCTTGCCTCATGTTGCCAGTGGCACACCAGACATTGAACTGAACTGCCCACCAGAGAGCTGGGAAGCTGCATAACTCCCCTGTGGAAACCATTTGAATCCATCAGGCACTTGGAACAGACTATTAGACTAGGTCCCTTTGCCTCAAGGAGGTCTTGGGTGGCTATCCATCACATCTGGAACAGGGTGTGATTTGACCACAGCAATGGGATGATGGCAATCCTGTCCATCTCCTGATCATATAATATCTGGTCTGAGATAAAAATGAGGTCTGATGTATGACTGCCTACATGTTTCAGCCCTGAACTTACATTAGAGAAGCTATTGGTTGCCATGGAGGCCAGAGATTCCCAGACTTTACCAGGGTCAGCCCCCAGGACATGGAGGTTGAAAACCCCAGTACCAAAGGTAGAGGTTCACTACCAGCCCTGAGACTGCTCCCAGCATCCTCGGGAAGGATCCTGCCAGGCAGTACACCTATAAGATCCCCAGCTTGTCTCTACCGCCCAACTGAACATACAGGCACTCCCACCCCAGTATCTCAGGAGCAAAGTCCTCGATTACAGATAAGGTGTCGCACCAAAGACACACCCCTCCCTGGCCTCGGTGCTGAGCTTGCTGAAAGACCCAAAATTCAGCTGAAGATATTTCAGATAAAGCAACATTGTTGCCCTTGCCCAGCCAGGTTTCAGTATGACGTGCCAGGTCTGTCACATCTTCCACAAGCAGATTATGGGCATAGGTGACCTTACTGCAGATCGTTAACACTTTGAAGCCAAAGCCTCCAGCAGCCTGGCCGTATAACCTCCAAGGTGGAGCTGTTGGGTTGGAACTCGAGATAGCCACCAATTTGGAGTGTAGAAGCTTACCCCATGAATGTTATGGATCAGACACAACTTGTGCCAGGTTACTTCCATATTGTTGGTTGGAGGGAGCTGGTGTCTACTCCTGTGGGTAGTTGGAATTATTGAAAAGAGTGCCTAAATGGTAATAGTGGACACCCACGGCTTCAAGTTTATGTCTTGGCACCAAAGAGACGGCAGTCTTGTATGCCCTTCAGTAAACCTGCTTACTGCTTCTCCTGAGTCAGAGCTTTCCTTTGTTAAAGGACTACTGTATCTGGGATAGTACAGTACCTTCTGTAGCAGTGTTTCTCAGCCTTGGAAGCTTGAAGATGTGTGGACTTCAATTCACAGAACAGAATCCTACCACTTTGATTTTCATGGGAAAAAGCAAGTAAATTAGGTTCAGAGGGAAGAGACTGATTTTAATAGACCAAAATGGTAATTCTCTCCTTGGGTTTTACAACCCTGGATCTGAATTAGTCCTCACCTTGCAGTTCTTTAAAAAGAAAAGGTATCTCATCCTGTCTCTAGTATCTTGCCTCATTTAGCCTTAAGTTTACTATTTACTGATATAAGCCTTCCTCCTTCCTTCTCTTTCTTGGAGACACACTCATATTCAATTCTTTGTCACAAGCTGATGTGGCAGTTTCCTGCTTCCTTTTTCTTGCATTTGGTCTAAATCCTCCAAATGCATTAAAACCTAGCCCATTACACAAACCCTTGATTTGTGTACTTTCGATCAGGTGGAAAGTACACAGCTGGCAGGATGTGTTATTAGCCTGTCCAAAAGAACCAACGTAGAAAACGGGAAAGCTAAGGAAAGCATATTTGCTTGGTAAATAAGTTCTGTTCCTTCATCATTTACAGTGGCATTGGCAGCACAGGGTGAACATTTCCTGCTGACCAATTAGAAACTTAAATTTGGAGTTTCACTTCAGACGAGTGGTAAATGTATTTTGGAGGAGATACAAAAAGGAGCAAAATAGATAAATAAACCTTAGCACACAAAAAGTAACTAACATTTGCATTCCTCACACTCAGACATTATAGCTGCACTGAGAGAACGTAACTGCCTGAGGCAATATTGTTTGAGGTTTTGTAAAACAATTTTATTATAAACTAATTGGAGAAGTGGTGTAGATATACATATAATAAACAGTTTGAAAGAAAATAAAACCATATAAAAGCATACTAATTAAAAAGATGGGGGAAGTGGGAAGGCAAAAAGCAATAAGCTAACATTTGTCCAGGGAATGCCTGGGTGAAAAGAGCACCTTATAGATCCCTACAAGGTATTCTGGCAGACACGTTATGAATTTGGGAGAAGCAGGAGAACATTCCAGAATGCAGGCGCTAGTCCAGGAGTTAGGCTGGCGGGGGGGGGGGGGGG